ATACTTCCGCTATCGTACGCGGCGCTTGCAGCGGCAACTGTAAAGCTACTTGAGCTCAGTAAAGTTGCTCAAATTCATTCCGTCTGACCAGGCTTGTAATTTTGGGATCCTTCTAGCGTCGAGACAGTAACTAGCCCTCGATACTTATGTTAATCATTAGGAGTTGTTATAATATTGTTATTGGTCTGTAGGCTTCCTTTGCTGATTGATTTTGTTCTTTCCACGCGCTTTTCACATTTATTTTTAGTTCAGTAAAACAATTACAAGCGGCTTTAATTTATTTCTTACTTAAATCAAGCATTGAACCTTTAACTACGATTTAAGTAATAAACTTGGGCGGGGGACTTTTGCAATTGGGCGGCCATACGAGGAACTCTTATCCAGCATCCTTTACTCATCTGGCACCTTTAAGGCCAGAATTTTGTGTTTATTTGGCTAAGGCCACTTAGTTAATTAAAAATGCACGTGACAACTCCATTTTCTACAAGGTAATTATTCAGCTCTGTTGCCAGGTCCTCTTCTTTATCTTTCGCCTACCCTTCATATAGGCGCTGCATTTCCGAGTACGAGCGCAGTCTGCAGGAGTTAGCTAAAGAAAAGACGCGAGCTGAAGAGGAAGCCAAAGAGTCGGTAATCAATGTCATCTCCGAACGCGATCAAGCGATTGAAGAGATCTCCACCATAGAAAAGGCCTTTGGTGACCTCCACCGGCGCTTCGAGAAATCCAAACAAATCATCGAGGGTTTTAAAAAGGTAGATTCCTCTGTCTTGGCAGTTTTTAGTATTCCGGCTTTTATTTAGTCACACACTCCTAGTCTCGTCTGGAGTGTCTTCATTTGTCTTCATTTTCGTTGCACCCTGTATCTTTCACTTTGTACCCCTCCCTTCTTTGAAGTCTGTTCATGATTTCCTTTAAACCCATGACGAGAAGAGAAGTAACCTTACGCATAGTAGCTCAAACGAAGACTTTCAGTTTACTGTTTTAACCTTGAACCCTTTTGCTGTAACTTGGCTA